GCTTGTGTGCGTGCGTGTCTGGTTGGGACCGCTTGTATCTGTGCGTGGGTGGATCCAAGTTTCATAAATATATGCGTTATTGGGTGTATATATTACTTAAACGTTCATCTAAATACACACACACACACACACACACTCACACATACTCACACATACACGCATACACACATACATGCATACAGGTACACATATACAAACAATTACCTTTAGAATGTATCAATAATAATGACTAAATATGTTAGAACTGTCTATAAATGCCTATTCCTAAATAGACATTGTCAATTTATCTATATTTATTGAGTGAGTCAATATTTAATTAATCTGATGATTTCAAAATAAATGTAATACACGCTATGATTGTGTTAAAGATGAAACTGGGAATAGTATCTCTTGACAAAAAATTCAACAGAATTCCCCAATATAAACTGCTTCGTGTGTTTGACGGCAAGCTGGCGTGTGTTGGAAGCGTCTGATGAAATCAACAAAATTAATGCTAGCAGTATCAGCACATGAGATGCCTATGTAATTTTTGAATTATTTGCGTCTTTGTATTATTTCACAGTCTGTCTTGTGCAATCTACTATTTTTAGCTTCATCGTCAACTTTCTCATCTTATAACGAAAATATTAATCAGAAGAAAAATAAATAATAATAATTATAATAATTATAATAATTATAATAATAATAAAAATAATTTTATGTGACGCTTGGGCATATAGCAGAATTGAGTAGGATGAATTGCCAAATTTTGTCATAAAATGTCTTCACCAGTATGTACGTCCTACTCTTTATGTTTTATGTTTGTCTTTTGGGTGACTCTAAACGTTAAAAAAATTGCTGTAGGTCAAAAGTTTTGTTAAAATCAGGCCAATCAATCAATAATCAATAAAGGATGGATCACCAACACATTCTTAATAAACAATATTTCGTTTTTATTTTAAGATTCAGTTTTAATAAGTGAAAACTATTAGAATTGGTTTTTGACAACCGCGAATTGTTATATTTAATTATTATATATTAATATTTAATTATTATATATTTATATTTAATTATTATATATTTATATTTAACTATTATATATTTATATTCAATTATTATATAATCATATAATTTATAAAATGAAAATGTATGAATAATAACAAAAACGAATAAAAATGAGCGAAGCTTAGACAGTAGTAAGTATAACCTTAGGTCTGAGCCAGTCTAACTTTACTTGTTTGGCAGCAGTGTAGAATACGCTGGACTCTGCAGCTGGGAAATCCGGATCTTCAAACAAACTCCCATTCTTCAGACATTCCGCTTTCAACTCGTCGTAATTTTTTCCTGAAAAAAATTTTTGTTTGTCAAATTTACTGGTCATATATGTAATGTTCCAAAAATATTTTTCGTCTCAGAAAATTTAGTATTTTAGTATGCGATGTCTCAAAAAAATATATTGTCATTTTAATCGTGCAGTCTAACTTATGTACGCTTGCAATGCCCGTTCTCTTTCGTAGCTCAATGTAATGCTATTATGTTTGAATTTCGAGTTTAAATCAGCATTTATTCCAAATAAAATTAAAAAAACAAATAATAGTCAGCTGTTGTTTGGTTTCTATATTCTACATTTAACTTATCAAATTTTCTATCTAAATTCAAATTTTGAAAAAAAAAATTCCACGTGAAAGATTTTTAACAAAAATATACATACAAACATTATCGCAATACCTAGCAGATATAAAAAAAGAATAATTTCTTTTATATAAAAATTGTTCAAATTAAATGATAAAATTGAAATTTGTAAAAACCTTTGTAAGTTATAATACTCTTCTTAGCAGCAGTTTTCTTCGCCGATAGACTCGCGGCTCCTGAAACCTTCCCATACTTCTTCGGACCTGAAAAACTGCCACTGAAATCGCCTTTGGCGCCATTAAAACCGCCATTTTGCATCTTTTCCTTGCCGGTAGCACTTCCAAATCCTTCGAAAACTTGGGCAGTTTGGTAGACCCGTCCAGAACGGCTGTTGGATCTTTGGGCCATTTTGGGGACGTTTAGACTCCCTTCCTATGGAAACAGCTGAAGGTTATTCCAGCCAAGAAGAGGAAACTACAGTGAGAAAGAGATCTGTAGCTGGTGTCGCTTTATCGAGGTTTGTTTATATAACTGTGAGAGAGTCGAGTGCGAACTTGTCATACAAAATATATACTTATATATTAAGTCATTATCTATTGTATATATTATATTTTACAATTACCAGCTTATGTATGTATGTATGTATGTATGTATGTATGTATAAACGAATGTTTACGAAATGACAGAATGATGCATAAGTGCTATCACATGTCTCAGCTCTGCAAATACGCAGTTATCTAAAATTAAATCATAACTAAATCTCCAACACGCCAACACAATAACACACACACTCACACAAGCACACACACTTTGTAGAAATATGGCCAGGAAAAAATTTCCCAAATGTGCGTACAACCTTGTCTTTATGATAGAACATGTGTTCAATCGTGACGAGATTCAGTTAGTAAGTTAGGTAAGGTAGATAGGTAAGTTAGATAGGGATGATTTCAATTGTAGGTAGGATAGATAGGAAACATCCAACACCAATGTAGTTGAAAATTGCACATTACACGCATCAGCGTATTACACACACACACACACACACACACACACAAACACATACATACACACACACAAACACATACATACACACACACACACAGAGAGAGAAATACATACATAAATAAAATACAAATATTAGCTATGTTACTTGCTCCAGTTAAATTTTTACGAAGAGCCCATTCGTTACCTGAACAATTTCTGAAGTCCAACTCACCATATTTGTTTAACTTGAGGTGAATAAAACTCCAATAGGTACATCATCAATTAAACCTCAACATTTTTTTGAATTTTAAAACTAATTATTCATCTCATCTTAAACTACAAAATTTTAAATTGCTTCAAATTAGTCGATGTCACACAGACTAGAGACCTCATTCGTCAATTGTTTCGCGTCGGTAATTATTTTCCTTACGAGATTTAACGTACGCAACAAATTCGTATTTTATGAGAATTTCAGTGTTAAATTTTTTAATGCATTTTTTACAATTTTTCAAAAATTGTAATTAAAAATTTGAAGTGGGCTGTAGGGTCGGGTTTAGACCCTGCAGCCCACTTTAACTAGAGTCCCTTGACTACTTAACTATGTAATAATAATCATCATTCTTACAAGATCAAATGCTTTCAGAAATAATCGGTGATAAATAATATTAATAATTGTAATATTGTCAGTGAATTTATGTCTTCATTTCACGATACCTCTTTTAAAACAGACAGACCATTTTGAGTGAATTAAATCGAAAAATTCATTTTCTAACGAAAATTCTTATCTTACATGTACGCATTTAAGACATCATTTCCAGATAATAAAAAAAATCAAAAAATATACCAAATGAATAAGAAATGTAATACCGGAGGAAGAAATGTGAGAAATATCACTGAACAATGTCATCAAGCGAATCCCACAAACACGGGCCATCAATCACACACGAAGTTCTTTATACTTTATTAGCACATACGTAAGTCCTGATCAAACTTGTAAAAACATAATTATCATTAATAATTACTATTATTTAACAATATTATAACAATTATAACTATTTGTTATAATAAATTATTATTATTTCATTATTTATCAGACGGTTTATTGCGTTATTCCCAGATATAAGAATGATATCTTGATGTCGTTGTTGGTGTTATTAACGCTGATTCTACTATATACAATGTTTTAGTTGATAAAAATGAAGAAGTAATTATGATGACGACGACGATGTTTTCAAATATTGCTATCAAATGTGATGATGAAATGAATAATAGCAAGATGATTGTGACGGTAATCTAGGTGGTACATTATTTTTCAGGCGACAACAATTTCGGAAAGAGGGATGAAAGCGACGATTTTGTGGTCGACGTCGTGGCGACAGTTGTCGACAACTGTAGTGAGGCAGATGACGCTAATGATACTGATGATGTTGACGGCGATAATGTCGCTAGCAATGATGACGACGACGAAGGATGTGACGTTGACATGAATTGGAGTGAAGGAGTTGGATAAGGATGGGCTTTGTGGTAAACCATGTACGGGACGTTGTCCGGATTCTGTTCATTGTTAATGTCTTTAATGTTATCGTCTCTATTGCTATTATTGTCGTCGTCGTTGTTGTTGTTAGAAATGTTATTGATGTGAGAATGTTCATACACAACACCTCCACAATCATCGTCCCAAGTGCATTCCTTGGTCTTAATAGCTATAAACTCAAGCGGTTGATCGAATTGATGGCTGTTAATGTTGTTGTCGTCACTGCTGTTGTTGTTTACGTTGATGTAATTGCTACTGCAGTAGAAGATAATGATGTTATCTTGGAAGAGATTGTAGCGGCTGTCACAGCCACTGTCCACGTACAGTAATCTTGGATCTTGTGGTTTTGTGGCTGGTGCTACTGCTGTCTCGATGCTATTTTTACTGTTGTGGTTGGTTTTGCTTCTTTTATTCTTACATCTACCATCATCTTCATTGAAATCTTCTTCATCGATGATAAAATTATCATCGTCGTCGTCGTCTTCGTCGTCAGCCTCACAGTTAAAGCTCTGAACCTTATTATTTCTGGTGGCATCGTTGTTGTGGCTACTTCTACTGCTGCTGCTGTTGTCGATGATGTTGAATCCATCTAATTTTTTGTAATCGCATTTCTTCATTTCATCAATGTGGATAGATTTCAGAGTGTAAGCAACCTTCGGGTTGATGTGGAATCTCTGGAGCATCTCATTCAAGCAATGCTGTAGTTGATGCTGTAGTTGATGCAGTTGATGTCGTTGCTGGAGCTGGAGAAAGGGCAGTTGTTGCTGTAGCTGGAAAAAAAAATGTAGTTGTTGTTGGATGTGCGGTGGGTAGTTGAGCATGAGATGCTGCAGATGCAGTGGATGCAGGTACTGCAGGTTCTGCGGGTCTAGATGCTGCTGCTGCTGTTGAAAGTGTTGTGCATGATGTTGCAGTGCATGGTGTTGTGGCTGTGGCAGATGCTGCTGTTGTTGTTGTGGTAACTGCTGTTGCTGCTGCTGGTGATTTTTCGCAGCTTCCTCCTCTTCCAGCTTCAACTGAAGGAATAAAAAAGAAATGAATGCATCGGTGCATAACAATCAAATTTCATCTGCCCATCTATCATCACATACATTCACCACAAACATCATCATCTTCGCCATCCTCCTCCTCCTCCTCACCATCATCATCATCTTCCCCATCATCATCATCTTCCCCATCATCACCACCTTCTTCACGATAGCTTCGGTCTCTTCGTTGAGTTCTGCATGTGAAAACTTGCACATCTGGCCATTGTTGCACTGACCTTTCAGATGGAAATACTTGCAGGGCCAATCACGTGTCAGGGTCAAGGTCGAATCGAATACAGGTCGAGGTCAAATTTTGAAAGGTGGATTAAGGTCAATATAGAAAGGTGACTTTTAAATCTAAAACCGAAACAAATTTTATATAAATATGAAAAAAAATCAATAAAAAAAACTGGAAAGGATATTATGATAGTATGGACACTCGGACATCCTGTTACAGTGGTCCATGACATAGAACTTGCAGACACTCTGCTTCTTTAGTTGTTCTACGTTGTGGTCGTAGGTGCAGTCGGCTTCCTGTTGATGACGTTGTTGTTGTTGTTGGTGGTGGTGTTGGTTTTATGATGTCGTTTTTGTTCATTTAATTTGAGTTAATTTTGTCCATAAACTCAGAAAATGTATGGAATAGAAGAAAGGAAACCTTTTTGCAGAAGCCATTGATGTAGAACTTGCAGGGCTGTTTCTTCTGTGGACCCTGCTGGTGCTGCAGCTCCTTCGACTTCAGTTGCTGCATGCGTTCGCGGTACTTCTGGCACTTATCGAGCCTCCTCAGTTGAGATTTCGTCAGTGACCTGATGAAGTTCCTACATCTGCTGCTCTTTTTGCCATTGACTCTGCTAGTGCTGCTGCTGAGAGGGTTGTCAGTGTGGCTGCTGTCGCCGCTACTCTTGTCCGCTGTAACAAACAGTGGCTAGATTGTGTGCGTGATGACGTTTTGTGTTTAGGTTAGTGAAAAATTTTTTAAATTTAACATGTTTTTGTCTATAAATCAAGTGAAAAAATTTCAAATAGCGCGCGCGCGCGTGTGTGTATGTATGTTTGTGTGTGTATGTGTGTGTGCGTTTGTGTGTATTTGTGTGTGTGTTTGTTTGTGTGTAGGTGTTTGTGTAGTAACGAATCATCTAATCTAATCACCAAACACCTACTGACAACAACAGAAAAGAGCATCAAGTACATATCATCAGTTCACCATCGACAATACAAACAACAAGTGACAAATGGATTGTACCGGGGAAAAGATTTCAGAAGAGAGTTAAAAAGTTATTTGTTCAACAAAAGCATTTAATCACAGTACAATCCTCTGAGGAGTGAATAATAATAATAACAATAATAAAACATATGACAACAACAACATCAACAGCAACATCAACAACAAAGCCGTCATATACCTTCTTCTCAGTTGCAGATACAAGGGGATCCAGATAAATATTAATATTAGTATTATAATTATTACTATTATTATTATTCCTTACAGCATTCAAATTCAATTTCATCTTCTTCCCACTAGAGTCAACATCTGCGTCCTTCATACTTTTGCATCTCTTATTATTATTATTATTTCTATTATTATTATGATTATTATTATTATTATTGTTGTTGTTGTTGTGATCAATAAATTTTTCATTCTGGCCTTTGTAGCTGTAGTTAACCCTATTATAACTCTTATAACTCTTATTATTGTTATTTTTGTTGTTATTTCCTCTGCGTTGCCCGAATTTTCTATTGCTGTTTGCGTTGTTGCATTTCCTGAAATTCGAAAAAGGCTTGCGATCACCTTTTATGTTATTATTATTATTATTATTATCATTATTATTATTATTATCATTATTGTTATCATTATCATTATCATTATCATTATTATTATCATTATTATTATTGCTGTTGTTGTTATGGCGTTGTTGTTTTTTGGAAGGGTCATCGGTATCGAACAAGTTGACGTCGTCGTAAGAAACGAGTGACCTTCCATTCGACGATGAAGATGACGACGACGATGAGACAGTAAATGATGATGATGATAGTGAGGTTGCTGCTGCTGCTGCTGGTGGTTTTGATGATGATAGCAATGACGATGACTGTAGACAATAATCATAACCTCTATTTTCACCAACACCATCATCATCATTCTTATTATTACTATAGTAATTATCATTATTATTATAGTAATTATTATTATTATTATTATAACTATTATTTCTATGAATCACAACTTTACCATCACCATCATCATCATTGTTTTTGGCAAACATGCCCCTGAGACCATTATACATTGTTGTTTTACTAATGTTACCATCATCACCACTACTACTATTATTATTATTATATGTAGTAGTGGCAGTATTTGTAGTAGTAGTAGCAGCAGTAGTAGCAGCAGTAGTAGTAGAAGTATTCTCATTGCCATTGGATTTAATATTGGCATTTTCAACATTAATATCTGGGCACTTGTCCTGATAACTGACTCTTCTGTTGTCAATTTTTATGGCAGTCATACCGACGCTCGCATATGAATCTGATCCGGCATCGTCCAAATCGATGTACTTTTTCGGCTTCTTACGAATCTTCTGTTGAAGAATAAATTCGAATAATTTAAATAAATTTGAATAATGAGTAATATGAGACACTTTAATTAACTGCACATAAAATATTACATCTAATGGATTGCATTTAAATCATAGTTAAATTAAACGAACAATCAAATAATAACAAAACTGACAATGCATCGCTCAGCCTTAGATGATGAAGATGATGCTTCATTTGGCTTTCCAAAAATACAATCTTTTGTTGGGGATAGCTCAGACGTCGACGACAATGATGATGATGATGAGGCTGGCTCAACATTTACTGCATTGGTTATTACTGCAGAACAGCTGGTATGGTAAAATGTATAAAAAAATTAATTAATTTATCATTACTTTCAGCACAAAAAGATTTAAATTTAATTTATGCACTGTAAATTTTAACTAAAACTCAATAGAACAAATGAAATATAATATATACGAAATAATATTATTTACTTGAAAATTATTTAAAAATTCACTCTTGAACCTCGTAAGTTCTATTATATTTAATTAATTTAAATTTAAGTCAAAAGAAGCTACCTAACTAAAACTGACCTTAACTAAAATTAATTCTTTTAAATTTAGTTAGTCTTTACTCTTTAGTACTCTTTTTAACTCTTACTTAAAACTCCTAACCAAACATTACAAATTACAAAACAAATCTCTACTTTATTCATTTATCTATTGTTCATTTCACAAATAACCAATTCAATAAACAACACAGTCAAAAAACCATTGAAACCCATAAAAAAATAAAGTTGAAAATGAATATAATATAAATAATATTAATTAATAATTTAATATTAATTTTAAAATATTAAATAATTAATTAATTAATTTAATATTGTACAAATAACATAAAAATAAAAAAAAATAATGGCAAAAACTTTTTCTCGTCGCTGTCCCCATCACCCAACTCCGGAACGGGATGCAGAGGTTTGGAAAATAAATTCAGAAGTGCCATTTTTTAGAAAGTTTAAAGCCGCTGTTTCAAGAAACGAACATCTGACAAAAAGCGATAAAACAGCACCAAAGAACTGAAAACATACAAATAACCGACAGTAATTGATTCATGCATTAACATGTAATATATCTATACTTAATGTTAGATATCTATATTTAATGATATATATCTATATTTAATGATATATATCTATTGAAATAATTATCTATATTTAATATATATATATCTATATTTAATGATATGTATCTATAATTAGTGATAAAACCTGTATCCAATTTTTTAACCAGAAAATAAGCAGCCAAATAACAAATGATCTAATGAAATCCTGGTGTAGTCCGATTAGCAACTTAACAAAATTAAGATGATAAAAATTGAGCTATAGTATTTCGTCTAAAACGTCATCTTTGATTAAATGGCTGGACAGTTAAGAGTAGCCAACATTATTGGATAGCGATAATTTGGTATACAAATGAGGTTTTATGGTATCATTATTTTAAGTATTTTCGTATGAAAAATGTATAAATATCTCATTGATATAAATGTAAAAATATATGAATAAAATCAGAGGAGCGTTTATAATAATATTAACTCAATATATTTGAGTTACTACAGCAATACGATCACTTCTTTGATAATTTGTGTGTTTGTATTTATAGAATTAAGTCAAATTATTCAATGAAACATTTCATTTTACTTTTTAGAAAAATAAGTTATCGGTATCTTCTATCTTTTGCTCTTTTTCCGGTTTCAGCGATATTTGTGTTTTTCATTTTGAAGTCTTCTCTGATGTTCAGTCTATGTTTTTTTTGGATGACCTCTTCTTTTCTTACCCTCCACATTGTTGAATAAGGCCCTATATGGTAATTTCTCTAAATTCATCCTGTCTACATGTCCAAACCAAGATAATCTTCTTTTTCCGAGTTCATTCTATTATGTTGCTCTCTTCACCAAGTTTTTCTCTGATGTTGTCGTTTCTTATTTTTAGTATCTACTTACACCCACGATCTGTCTCAGACAGTTATTAATTTCGACTGCTAAAAGTCTGTTTTCATTTGTCTTTCTAATTATCCATGTTTTTGATCTAAGTATAGATCATCTGTGAAACAATGACGGTTTCATATCTTTCCTTTGGTTTACGCTGAACCGCCTTTTAATGACATCCTTTCGGATCAGCATTTGAAAGATACCCTCAAGAATAAATAATAACAATGTCTGACAATCAATGGCCGATACATAATTTAGCGGTTGGCTAGATGATATATAAATTATAAAAAAGATGACTTTTTTGCTTATTCTTACTATGCTTTACTAGGATCTCCTATAATTTCTTTTTTTTATGATCTGGTGTGGAGATTCTCACTACAGATCCGCCAATCCTGACAATGGTTACAAAAGTAAAAAAAATGGAAACAAAACTTCGTTAAATCATTTAAAAAAAATTATTATCGCGAAAAAGTTTCGCTGTAATTCTAAATCAATAATGTATGTCCAATGCACTTATTGTCAACGCTAATAGGTTGGTTTCAATAACGGGACCCTTCAATATCCATATATAACTTTATATAACAAATTAAATAACCCTAATATCATTCCCAAATTCTAAGTTTCATACTAAAAACTGGATGTATAGTATACGTACAATGGTGTGATGGTTAAGATGACTGGCACTACAGCTGCAGTGACTGAACTATTGCGAAAGACCTACTCCAGTCACATGCAATGTGTGTACGTGTGTGTATGATTGTGTGTTTGTTTATGTGTTCGTGTGTGTGTTTGTGTACGTGTGTTTGTGTACGTGTGTGTTGCGTTGATTCTCACAAATTTGCCTGCACTGTTCATGTGTGTTGCTGATAACTCTGGAATAGGTATTACTACTATCACTACTACTACTACTTCTACCACCACTACAACAACTACTACTTTTATTACTACTACTACTACTACTACTACTACTACTCTACTACTCCAAATTTTACTCCTGGTACTACAAAAATTACTACCACTCTATCTAGCCAAATTCACGTAAACATTCTCTTATCGAATATATACTAAAAAATTTAAAAAATTAAATAAATATTTCTTATCAAACGATTAAGTCATTAATTATTATAAAAAAAATAGAGAATCGTCTAATAATAGTTTTTAAATGATAATAGAAAATTTAAAAAAAATAATTTTTTGTTTAATAAATAAATAAAATAATGATGAAATTTTTAATCATTTGTTTAAGTAATGAATCGAAATAATCAGAACTTACGCATATATAAAAATAATTGACGTCTATCTTGCGACGAATTCAACTTATCAGATTTTTACGTAATCTTATCTACAACTTAAAGTTACCCACCCACAATGGCATGAACCACTGCAGATGCTCCTGTATAAATAAGCCGGCAGGTTCAATCGTTATATCGCATGGCTCGCTTTCAAATCAAAGTTTTTCAGTTAGTTCTTTACATTAAATTACAATAAATTATCGATCAGGGTAATTATTATAAATTTAACAAAAAATTTGTTTTTAACATTTTATTCACAATAAATCATAATTCTAAATATGATAAATACTTAATTATTTAATCAACCATCCAATTAACTTAACTTACTTTATTTTCACCACAAAGCAATGATTAAAACCAAGAAAGAAACGTGAGAATGAATTGCCATCACTTCCTCATCTTCACCATCACACTCAACCACTTCATAATTGCAGAAAAAGATTATGACGTACCAGTCCCATCATGCTTCCAATGCCCACCAGGACCTCCTGGACCCCCTGGACCCGTTGGACCGCCCAGCGCTAGAGGAGACAGGGGTATTCCCGGCATACTTGGATTTCCCGGAATAAGCGGAGCGCCAGGAAATCCAGGTATGCCGAGTTTTCGTGGTATTGCAGGACATCCAGGACTAAAAGGTCAGCCTGGAGCTCCAGGGCCCCAAGGCTCACCTGGACCAGTGGGTGGGTGTTGAATTGATTTTCAGATTCGACAACTGCTGCCTGCTGCGTTGTGACTACAATTTTTCAAGAACATATGAAGATGCTTATATCGACTGCGCTCGTGCCATTGTTCTATTTATAAAAAAAATGATTATTTAATTTTAAATGACACGAATATGTCGTTATTTTATTGGTTTGAATTATTTTTGATTTGAATTATAAAATAAATTAAAACTTATTAAATTTGAATAAATATAATGTTAAATAACGGTATTATAAATAATATATTTAAGTAGGTTGAAGTAATGCTAAAATATACCGAAACTTGTTGGGCTATGCAAATTGACAATGAAAAGTTCGATCGTAAAACGTAGCAAAAAGAAAAGTTACCTTAGTTTTCAAGGTATATATTGTAAATATTTTACATGTTGTTTCTTGCATCAAAAGAAATCTCGCAACAAATTGGTAACACCGACGTGATGAAAGAAGCAAGCAACGAGAGTTCCACATCCAATGCGAAGCTTTCTTCTACAACACAGTGTTGATCCCGGCAATTCTACTCATCCATCACGTCGCCAACACACGCGCGACGATCCGGTGGGGGAGTGTTGTCGGATTGAAATTCCTAACAAACAAAACTAATAATCCCCTATAATAAATAATAACACCACGAGCTAACAAAGTAATTTAGGCAAGCTATACAAGAAGAAACTGCGATACGATTCTGATCCGTCTGCTGGTGATACCACGGTGGGGACTAAACACTTGTCCAGCCTATCCAAACGAATACTATTCTTTTCTTCTTTACACTCCTGCTCACTGCTTTTCCTGGTTTGGTGTTCTCTAACCCAACAATACAGAGATACTCTGACCGATCCGTGATACCCAGAAATCTTGACCATTCTGTGATACTAAAAAACCCTAATCTATTTCCAACAAAAAATGATAAAATAATCACTAAAATATTCATTGGGCAAACTTTTTGCTGTGAGGGCCGCATTGAGAACTATTTTACCTTTGAAGGGCCGCATAGGTACTTAAATAGCAAATTTTTTCGACCCGGGGAGAATTATTTTAAGATTTGTGGCATCTTTTTTTGGTCATAATGTCTGGTTGACGACTTTTTTTTGGAGCACAAGTCATCGCGGGCCGCATAAAATACCTTCGCGGGCCTTAGTTTGCCCACCCCTGTTCTAAATAACCAAACCGAATTAAACACATTCAGTTCAAAACAAATTTATAAATTAGTATTTTCAACGCTTGTGTTAACTGTACATGTTCCAACTTGTATTCGATAAGTTTAAAATATATAACAATAACAAATTAATACAAAATGAAAAATTTAAATTTTGAAAATAAAAATTTAGTACAAGTGGCATTTCAAGATGTAATCTCGTTACTAGCAAAATATTTTCTTAGGATCTGGTACAATAAAAATAAATTTCATTATTTAATTAAATAACTAAAAATAGTGCTAAAAAATAGTATATATCAATTTAAATATGTAGGCAAAATATCTTTAATTAAACAAAATTTAAAATAAAAATATTTTTAATTAAATAAAATAAAAAACCTGACCGATACTCTTTCGGCAAAAAAGAGCCGACGAATTGATGTTATTAACCGCTTTAATGCAGTTTGTTTTATTTTGAAATTTTGTCCATTCAGCAAATGACCACGCCGAATCATCGAATCCAGTTTGGAACCATCCAGCCTGATATGTTTCACAGCACTTCCAGGATCTGTCGGTCAGGATCGGGAATAAGCCATTCCCACTGCAAACTGTTGGGATCGTTTGGGAATGTTTATGAGTCAATCAATCAATCAACCTTCGTTTAGCGTCCAGAGACCCGGTTCCCCGAGGTAGGACGTTGTTTTCTTTGCCATCAACTTTTATGAGTAACGTTGAGAAATTTCAGTTTATAAAAAGGTTTTTTACACCAAAGTATTTTAAAGTTATTTGTGTGGTAATAATAAATATTAATTACTTAATTATAAATTTTAATTAATAAATACAGTTACGTGTTGTTGAATGTCTTTTCAAGAAATTAATAATTTTTATTATGGATTTGTTATGAAAACTTCGTTCCAAAAGAAATTTTAATTAGTACATGTGTTGTTTATATATCTGCTAGTGTGATGTATACCATATTTAACAATAAATTTCATTTTGCTATTATATTATTTACAAAAGTTTATTTCTAAACCCCCATAACACTTTAATAATTAAAAAAAATGTTAAATTCATATTTTTTTAATTGTATTTCTAACATGCTGTTTAAAACCTAAATTCTATATATAAAAATCTAGCAAAAATCACCCAACACTATGATAATCTCATGAAACGAATTCAAGGCATTTTAAATCGCCTAACCCCTGATGGTATGATTGTAGGCGCTCCTGTAGACTACGACAGCCAAAGTACGCACGGATATCTTCACATATATCAATGTATCATCTGAGAAGTTGTACGGCTGGCTCAGGATACCATCTACGTAGATACTTGATGTGTGGCTTTCGTGTGAGAGTTGTACTGCAAAATCTCTTTCAAAATCTTTTCGCAAGAAGTTAATTAACAGGTTATTTTTTGTTTCGTTCAACGATATTTTTACTGTGTTTGTTAAATATTTTAAATTTTAGTACAAGTATCATTCATTAGAGGTTAAATTTTGAATTTAAACATTCTTTTAATTAAAATTTAACAATGGTTGTACAACAGACAGCAATAAAGTTTCAGCAAAAAAAGGTTTGATATATTTACCCACATAAAATTCCATATCGACTTACTTTTATTCACATACAACACACATTTCTCATCCGGTTCGAGCACTCTGCTAAGCAGCTTAAATAACCGACACTCCCAATTATCGGATCGAATATCGAATCCAACACATCCGACTTTGCGAGAACAGTACCAGGAGCACAACATCAAAGCCTTACATGTTCCATAACTCGAGAGGCTGTACGTTCCAGTGGGGTTGCTTCCTCCATAGCAAACATCCTTAACATTGCAGTCGTAAACTCTTCTGTAGTCACTCAGATTTCGTACTGACAATATGGCATCCAGTGGGATCACATTTTGGATGATCATGGCGCAAAGCTGGAAAGCGACAACTAGCACCATGGTTCAGGATTTAAACAAATACTCTTAACGAAATTTTAAATGTTTCCATGAGTGGCGAACGCAAACTCTTGTTACATTCTGAATGAAGTCTCATTATTTTAAAACTCTTTCACGCTATAAACTAAAATTTATTTAAAAAAAACATTTGAACAAGGACTTCGTGGTGTTGACATTTTGTTTTTAAACAAGTTTGCTAAAACAACTTCACACTTCACACATACACACACGCACACACACACACACACACACACACACACACACACTAAATAAGAAGCACAACAAGCGCACACATACGTTGTCAGGACAAATATTTTCCGATGCAAACAAACCAGGAGTGTGGTGCAAACATGCAAACACTGCTCGAAGATAGTGCTTACCCTTTACAGATTACTAAATATTTTTAATAAAAATAATCACAACTTTCTTGAAGTTGTCGTAAAAATTGTGAAACTCAACAAAGTTTTTCCTAGAGTACTGAGCAATGACGAAGTAACACTATTCGTGTCTTTTGTTTGAGAAGCAAGCTTTAGCACAGGCGCGTGAAGTTCGTGTAGTTTTTTTTTATTGCATGTAACATCCACCCAACTAGTTTTAAATGACTCTGTCGATGGAAAAATTGTTACTCCTTAGGAAGATACACTTCGTTTCATACTTTGATGTTTAGTTTTATTCAGCAAAGTTTTCGAAAGTTTCAAAAAGTTTTTCTATTTAAACTCCAAAACAGTAATTTCATTAACATACAATGTCTATTCTACTACAAATATTAATACAATGGCCAGCCCATTAAATCGCCCAAATAATGCTATATTTATCATTATTTCAAATCAAAAAATTTTTGTTTTTCGTTTTAAAAAATTGAAGTTTTAAATTGCGAAAATAGTGTCACTAGTCAGTTTTTAGTAGAAGATAATATCATCTTGATTTCTGCACTGTATTCTCTTCAAATCTTTTCAAAATTTTTGAAAAATATTATTAAATCTTAATTAAATATAGAACCAAACACGTCTTACCTAAATTTATCCTATAAAAGAACTTTGAATCCTTAGAGCACTGTTGACAGGTGATGCATTTTTTGTCATCGTCAGACCATCTTGCATGCGACCAGCTGGAATGGTCGAAATTAGTCTGGAACCAGCCGTCGTAGTATGTATCGGTGCATTTCCAAGTTGGATCCACTCGTATTGCATAGCGGCTAATGAAGCCGCAAACTGTATAGTTAATATTATTCGGAAATAAAAGTGAATAAAAATATGGGAATATTCCAATGTAAAAATCATTCATTTTAAAGTGTAAATAACAGCACGATTTTTTTTATAAAGCATTGAGGTGTTTACAAAATGTCTTTTTTACCTAGTTTCAACTACAACTGGTGTTTGTTTCGCAGTTACCGGGTTCGAATACGACCTAAAGATTCCCGCTTATTACATTCCTGCACGTTTAGCACGTATTTATATATGATGTTTGTGTGTTGTTGATTTTTCTAGACCTAGGAAGTGTGCTAAAAATCTTTTTTCCTTCAATCATTTGCAGGATTTCTTCATCACATGATTTACAGTGCCATCAAATCCATTTTAAATTATTTGGATATTATTCTCAATAATCATGATTTATTTCGGTTTTCCTGTCTCTTAAATTCTTGTTGCCAGTTTCAAACAGTATTGACCTTTATTAAAAAAAGCATTCAGAGAACATTTCTAAATTTTGCAATTTGTTTTTACGTTTGTAATAAAAAAAATTATTCAAAATGTAACTACAACATACTTTTAACGCATTCGTGTTGATATCCGCTATCTTTTCAGAATTTTTCTTCAGAACCACCAACGAGACTTTGACCAAGCTTTCCCACTTTGATTGCCAAAAACTGAGCATCTATCGTTACTTTTATATTTTTAATTATTATATTTTTAGAACGTATGGTTGGTCCACTCCCGTTAACATATACACTTATTCGAGCTTGAGGGATCGTAGAGATGGATAATTCTCTTTCAGTATCTGAATAAAAAGTGTTTTTGTTCCAAATCACAAAATAAAATGTTGTACAACAACTCATCGCAGGTTTCACTAAATATTTTACCCACAGAAATTACAAAAATGAATTTAATCCCATGAAATAAAAAAAATCCGTTGACGAAAGATATTTAAAAAATCGGCGCTCACCAAGAATTTCATTTAGTGTAAAAATGTTGAAACTTACTTTTATTGAGATATAGCGAACATTTGGGATTCGCCGAAACATCTCCATTTACATTCCTGAAAAGCCTGCAATCCCCATTATCAGATTGAACTTCAAAACCCTCACATTTAGAATTCTCGGAGCAAAGCCAGGAGCCCAACAACAGGGCCTTACAAGGTCCCAAACTGGACAGAACAAATCTGTTCAAGTTGTCGCTCTCGCCTGAGTAGCATACGTCACCGCCGTCACAACCACGCACGTGCACGAAACTTTCCAGATTTCCAGAGCGAAATTTTTCCAAATTACATGATGAGAGGTTGAAATTTATTAAAAGACTATTTAGAAATAAGGTCCAAACATTTTTCCTAAAAAGGCCTATCCTTTTTATTTTTTAGGAAAGAGCGGAGGTAGGTTTAACGGCACGAATGGCTAGAGAGAATAGGACCATTATATACAATCATAAACTAAACATCAGAAAATAATTTTTTCTCAAAAATTTCAAAATTTAAAACAAATTCTGAAAATTGTTTAAAACAAACTATACTTTTTTAGAAAACGCGCTTAGGATAACACAATGTTTCGTTGACATTATCCGTTATGTTTGTTGGTCGATAAGAAAATGTTGGATTTACACGGCACACATGTGTAAACACAATATTCTTCTAACTGTGTCTCGTTAAAATATCTTGTTTTCTTTCTATCTCTCATCTCAGTTTCTTTCTATCTCTCATCTCAGTCTCTCTCTCTCTCTCTCTCTCTCTCTCTCTCTCTCTCTCTCTCTTTCTATCTCTGTTTCCCTACAATTTTGTAAAAGATAAAAAAAATATAAAATTTATCATTTTTAGCCTGATGGCCTAATGGTTAAAGGCACCTGGTCTAATCATGCAGTTACAGGGTTCGAAAGCAGGATGATTCCCTTCTTTCATGTGCCTCAAGTGATGCGTGGTTTTTATGATACAATCCTGTGTGAGTTGTCTATTCAGCCGCCAGACCATGATGAAAAATGTGTGTGTTTGTTTGTGTATGTGTGTGTGTGTGTGTGTGTGTGTGTTTCGTGCAATGAATCAAAATCAACAGTTATTTAACGTAAAACCTAATACAGAAAAACGACTCAGCGTTAATTTTTTTTTGTTAAAACTTATATATTGACTTAAAAAATTAAAGTAAAAAAGTAAAAAGCTTGAAGTAATAAAATTGCATGCTTAATAAATCTTTTAAAAGTTAAAATAAAATATGAAAAATGATAATTCGGATTTATGCGCAATTAAATATAAAAATTTTAGCTTAATTTTTAGAATTTTAGTTCGTAAAATCACCTATTCAAACTAAGTTTTCAAATTAAACAAAAAACCAAAATATCTATAATATAAAAAGAAAGTTAAACAGAAGATGGATGATTCCGTAGCGAGCAAACAACGGATTTAACTCTGTGTTTATATTTTCTAACGATTTTAAACGCAATTAAAATCACTTTTTTAATAATTTATTAAATTTCCAAATCAAATTTTAAACCAAACATTAATTGAGTAGAAGAACAATTGTATCGCTGAAATGATTGATATAAATCTTTCTAATGATATCAGTGCAGTCTTCATCGATTGCTCACTCATATTATAGCATTTAGCAACAGACGACAACTTTTAACTTTCAAATTTTAAATGAAATTTAATAAATCTAACTTTCTAGTTAAATATATTTCAATAGAAGTAATTTAGACTTTCCCGATTAAAAATTTAAGCGTGCAAATTTAAATTGTTCCACATTTTTATGACAAAATTATTAATTAAAGACCAACAAACACTTCTTACATTTGCTTGCAGTAGCAGGTCTAGAGGGTAGCAAACTTTCAACATTCTTTTCAAATTTGAAACCCCAGTCGACGTATTTTTTTTAGATCCGACACTGTTTGTTTATAGTAAATTAGCGTAAATTTCAAGAAACTACGTATAAACCCAATGCCAATATACCAGGTTAAAAAAATTTTCCTATTTTAAATTTATTTACAGATCGGATTAACAAGAATGACTTCTATTATAAGCATAACTATACCTTTGCAAACATGAGCGTAAATTTTGCTTGGGCAATTTTTCCATTACATTTTTCAGATTTAGTATAAAATGGTCAAACTACCTATATTAAATTTCAACTTGTTGCTCGAACTAAAATTTGATAAACTAAATTTTTACTGTTAAATTTTCAAAATGAAACCAGAGCTTGAAGCAAAGAAGGATGTTTCAATAGCTGCCATCGATGTGGAACATTCTGCGGTTTTGGCAAGTTCTTTTTTTTTAAAGAGAACAATTTAGGAAACAAGTTTTAATGTTTTGAGATGTTTAGTATTATTGATAATAATGAAGTAATAAGATTTTTATTGAAGTTTCTTTAATTACAATGAAAGTTACTGAAGTCGAAGAAATTGAATTTCTTAGAAACCAACCGAAAGAAAATGCTTCAAAATCGGCGTCACAACCACCATGGCTTCACTGGCTGTCTTGGTCATCTGTGCAGTTGTGAGCATCTTCGTCTACATGAAGGCCCAGAACCAAATAATCGAAGTAAGATAATTTGACGTTATTAGTAATAATAACAGTTTTAGATTAGTGTTAAATATATCCTCCATTTTCAATGATTCAATAAGCTGTTTATAATTTTGGTAGCCAAATAAGTTATGCTTCTAGTTTAATGAGACATAAAATATCTCAAAAACTTCCAACCCACAGTACAAACTGAAAATGTTGGATGGACGGAGTCAGGAAGTGAGTGGGGACCTGACTGAGAACACTGTCAGGTACCACGTGCAAGATACCGACCAGGAAGCTTGGGTCATCGACGATTTCAACACGGTTAATTACATTTTGTGGCGCTTAACCTCTTATTTTCAGCCGTAACGGTGATGAAATTTTATTTTTGAACAAGAAATGAACATATTTGAATCAAATTTTTGTAAATTATTTGAAATATTTCAAGGTTAAACTTGGCGCAAAAAACATTCCATAAACTAAAATAAATGTATTTCTTCTTTTTTTCTAGTTTTCATCAGCATTTTTTCCGATTAATATTCAGAGGTGTCGTCAACCGAGGTTTCACACACATCGCAGGTGATCATATCGGAAATCTGTTTGCATTCGAACGCGACCACTGCGACCTTGCCCCATACTACCGCTTAGTGCGTTAAGGTTTTAAATAACAATAAATACATTTTCATTTCCGTCTAGTACATCAGAGTGACGAAGATAACGACGAAAAGAGGTGAGACTAACTGCTACTTGGCGCCACTGAACGTCTCAACTGCGATGGAGCCATCTAAAGTCTCCAAGCCTGCCTCCAACAACGAGTGGATGGAGGTGGAAAATTATGGATTCAATCAATTTGATGAAGTCCAACTCCACTTATTTATTTTTTAAATTCAGTTTTTAGCTTAGAAATTTACATGTAAATGTAATACATCACAGGCACCAGGCGATCACTCCTCCACCATCTACCAAATATCTGGTTAGTCCATCGAAGACATCTCCTTCCTGAACAAAAAAGCAAGAAGTGCCTGTAAAGGTACAAAACAATTTTTTGAACTGTTTCAACAAATTTATTTTTTATTCACATATAAAACTAAAAAGAATCATTTTGAAATTATCCCAGGAGTTTCAACATATTGGATGTATCCTACATGTGGAAATGACCATCCGACTCCAAACGAAAGTAATGAACATTAATTTAATTTAATTAAACTTTTATTAAGATTTAATTACCGGACCTTTTTCATATTTGAAAATAAATTTCAAATTATCAATTTAGATCAACTGAATGAACCATCGAAAATTCAAAAGCGCGAGGCTCCATACTACGTCCTGACTAATCACACTCGGGACGGGGTGCATTACTACCCGTGTATCAATGGATGCTGTCAAACCGTCTGCGCCGAAATGATTCAATACCATTGGGAAATAATCAACGGTAGAATCAACTGCAACTGGGTCCCAACAAATCTGACGGAACTTTATTGTGAAGCTACACCTGGGCTGAACTGCAATCCTTGTTAAATTTTTCAAGAGTTCGCTGCGTTAGACCAAGCCGAACAGAAAAAATTACTTCAATAATGACACACGTAGTTTAGTGAAAACTAATTTTTACTGGATTTTTAAATAGACGACATGTATTCTGACGTTGTTAATTTTTTTCATAATCATTAGTTAGTATCCTGGATATATTTTTAAAATGATTCACATTCACTGATCGCTTAGACATTTTTGTTAACGTTTAAAATGTTATTAATAAATTTATTTCAAAAGTATCACAGATTAAACCTTTTGAGTCAAACGACTTTTTGAAACTTTTCGCGATATTATAGGCGACAAAATAGATTCATTTTCGAAGCAGACATAAACTGAAAACGTAAAAAACTGAAAAAATATCCCGTAAAACCAAGCAAATTTAATTCACATCAAATAGTTTCTAGAATGTTCTATCATAAAAAACAAAATTTTATAAAAAAAATAGCAACAAAAAATAGCATAAATTCATGGCTATTTAATTTCCTAACAAAACATAAAAAACATTTATTGTAGCACAGTGAAAATTAGAATACTTCCTTTCAACAAAACCTTCCAAATTCCTTTGATGATTCGTACGAAGGAATACTTCAATTCTCACATGTAACACCTCCGAAGTATTTTAGGTTACTCCAGAAATCAGAAAGTAGCGGTGATTTGCTAATTAATTAGAGATTACTTTAAATTCTTTTCAACAAAAAAACTATAATTTATTAAACTTCATTAACTTTCTTCCATTTAATAAAAGCAAGGAATACTTTCAATCCAATTAGCAAGCCTTCCAAAGCAAAGTTAGAATTCCAGTCATTCCAATTGACACCTACCTACACGCGCCAACCAATCCAATAAAAGCACTTTGTTATAATATTGCGGTGGTTTTGTTTTAGCTAATTGGTTTCTTTGATGACGAAACTTCAAGTAGACAGGCGTTTGTAAAGTTTGGTGAATGAAGTGAAGTTGAGTGAAGTAAGATTGTCTGATGGATTGAATTTTAAAACAAAATTTGTCCTTTCTAACATTCATCACCGTTGGTATATAAGTGACTGATTCCTCTGGACAGTATCGTTCAGCAAGTTTCCCGGTCAGATATTTGTGGTCTCAAGTTGATTTTTAAAAAGTCGTTTAACTGATTTCGAAAGTTTCAATTCGTATCACTAACTATTTGAAAAACTGTTAACATTTCTTGAAAAGAAGATTTGATCAAAACTTTCATTCGTTCACTCAAACTTCCAGCCATCCATTCCTTCGTAATCTCTATTCATCCACTTCGAACGGACATCTTGTCATACATTCATTCATTCATTCATTTATTCAATCATTCATTCATTCGTGAATTTTATTCATTCACTCAATCATCCAACCATTCAAACACACAACATTCGATCAACCAACCAGCTGAGCAACTGAACACACGAGATTCCACGTGTCTCAACAAATTTCCAGTTGCACCAATCATGGCTTCTACCCAGTTAGAAAATCGCGCGACAGATTCGCAGCCACCAATTCTAACAATGCAACATCCAAGTGCCAATGGAGCCAGCAGAATAAAAACCGTTAGACCGGTTACCGTCAAATCGGTCAAACGCGGACAAAGAAACGGTTCTGTCGACTCTCCGTACCGAAGTGTGGACAACATCTACATGAGGAGCACAAGAGGGGCGTCATCGATCAGAAGAAAGCAGGTCGGTGCCGGTAGGAATGATGGGGAGGATGAAGATTACACCCATTATCGGTGCCTCCATCGCCGCTGTCGTTGTCAGCGCACCAACTTCCACCAGCGACTTCCCAACGCTCAACACCACTACCGTCAGATGGAAAGGATCAGCAGCCGCTTTGGAGAAAGTAAGGATTGGCTCAACCAAGATGTGGTCGATGATGTTAGTGGCGTTAGAAACTACGACAACAACGATGGTTCCAACAACAACAACAACAATGTTGATTGCAACAATAACAAAGATGATCACAACAACATCAACAACAACATCAACAACGTATTAGATTATCCATTAGCAGACACCATCCATGAAACGTTCATAGATTGTGCTGGAAAGAATGCAACTGGAAGAGAGCACATTGAAGTGCATACAACTGACCACAACAGCATGGACAACATCAGCATTCAAGTCATAAACAACATCGGCAACGAAAATAAAGACAGCTTCCACAACAAAAAAAGCAAATCAACTTTCTCCATCTTCAACATCGGTTGCAGCAACAAAACAAAACCCAGCAAACCAGGCAGGTACAAAGAATCGAAATTCTCAAAAAAATGCAACGGCACATTTCTTTTATTGAAGGCCAGTTTATCCAGGCTCGATATTTCAAGGAACAACAAGGCAAATAAAGCAGAAGATGAACATGACATCAAGTTTACCGACAGCAACATCAGTGACACGAACGGAAATGGTAACATTAACAATAACTTTACTACTGATAATAACTTTAAAACTAACCCAAACAGGACCGTGCACAAGAACCAAGACAGCCTTCCTCAGAGGAACAAGGCAGACGACAAGGCTGCAGAACTCGATTCATCCTTGGACGGAATGTTGCAAATGTTGACCGACAAATGTCTGACCAAATTGGGAAAGTCATACAAACCAATGGTAGAAGTTGTTGGCAGCTGCAACAGTCTGGCTAAGTCAGCAACGACGAAACATTGCGGATACTTGAAACGTCACTTTCTCTCGAAGCATCTCGTCTCCAGCTGCCAGACTCCAGGCCTGTACGTCTCCTGTCTCCAGTCCCGCTCTGGAAAGTTACTCGCCACTTCAAACAACATCCTTCCTACGGTCAAGGTCAATGTCGATCACGTGGCTGACATTGAAAATCATTTCTATTGGCTGATGAAGGCCAGCAGTGATTGGCGGTTAGTGAAAAGTCTGAAAACCATCTTTAAAAAAGAAATCGGAGTTTCAAAGAAAATGGATACAAACGTCAGACAGGATCAAGATACATTTGCGATCAAGTATGCCATTTTGAAGGCGGTTCGTTGCCTTCAAAAACTCACAAGGAATGAAGACTTGGGAAAACTGCATTGCAGCGTTTTCAAAGAGAACTCTTCTTCAGTGTTCTTGTTCGTCAATGAAATTCAAGATGCCTCCTCTTCGTCTTCCTCATCCTCTCCATCACCATCATCATCATCACATGTGTCCTTGTCACCTCTGGTCTGGATGTCCACCGATGACCTATCGTCATCATCATCATCACCATCTTCATCGTTGTCGTCATCACCATCAAAATTGCCACTGCTCAAATGCATAGCATCGAGAAGTTCTGACATACTGTCGATGAGTGAAGGAGAGTTGAAGGAAGGAATGTACGTTGGCTACTTAAAATTGTCCTGCCGCGTGCAGGGCTTGGACATCCTCGTCTCCAAACAACATCTCTCAAGCTTCCCTTCCGTCCAGTTGGACGATGAAGATGGCGTTGATCGAGAGGATAATTTCCGGATGCTAATGAAGGACACCGGCAAACAAAACTATGAAACTGAGTTCCCCGTGATGGAGAAGCAATTCAAAGAAATGCTGCTATCCAAGTGCAATCAACTCATAGATGCCGTCGACACACAAACATCTGCTGCAACCTCATCTGCAGCTGATGATGAAGTTGAAATCGCTGTTGAACCAGCCACTCCAGCTGCACATCGTCTCAACAAGATGACCTTCACATTGAACAACCAGGTGACCATGACCTTGCTAGCACCACCAGCTTCTCTCGTCTGCCAACTCCTGCAAGACCAACTGCCCAACCCTCCACCATCCTGCACCTACCTCCCACTCCGAACTTTCGAGATGATCCATCTTCACGCCTACCAACCACAAATCTACCGAAAGTTCAGCAAGTTGTCGACCATCTTGGATCTGCTATCAGAGGTCTGCAGACGTAGAAAGTTGATCCTGGAAGCTTCTGACATCAGTGACTCACGTGACGAGGAACTGACCGAGCTTCTGGAAATTTCCGCCTGTTCACAAGGCATCCAACGAGAGATGATTGAAGCTCTGGCAAAGAATCGCTGGCTGGCTGGCGTCATCAGACAAGCTCGTCTGCCGTCTTCGAAGGATTTTCTACCTCTGATTGAACTTTTTTGAAACAATTTTATCACTTTTGATTCATGGAAGATCTGTGCGTACATGTGCATACGCTTTTATTCATTTGTCATTATTTTTAAAGTTTTATTTTATTCTTCATTAACATTTTAATCTTCATATAAACTTTTCATGAGTCTTTTTTTCACTGTTTAAATTTCGTGAATAAAACTTATTAACTGATTTATAGATTGATAATACTGATGAAAAACAACTAAATGTGTGTATGTGTGTGCGTGTGTGTGTGTGTTTTCAGTGGTGAAATTACGCTAGCTCGTGAAATCCGACTTTAAGATCGGCATACAGAGCTCCATTGTTCTGTTCCAAATTTATTTGTGTGTTTCTTTGTTCAAAATTTTGTGTGTGTGTGTGTGTGTGTGTTTGTTTAAATTTATTTGTGTTATTGTGATTTGTGTGTTTGTGGTGTGTGTAATGGTAACTGAATGTGCATATTTTTGTATAAAGTTCTGAGTAACTCGTAAAATGCTTTTTTGTAGTAAGTTTCCAGTGAACGATGGTCAGTGATCAGTCGGATGATTTGAAGTCGTATTTCACATACTTGAGTTATTTTCGCCATTAAAAATTTAATTAATATAGACATACACACAGACACACATAAAACACAGACACATATGCACACATACTATTATTTTTCAACTATTAATAGGTCAAATATTTTCAAAAACTTCTGTAAAATTTACTTTATAATAAATGGCTAATCAATTATTTTTTGCGTGTGCGTGTGCTTACGTGTGTGTGAAAATTTGTATTATTATTATTTAAATGGTTCTTGTTATTATCAATATTATTTAAATGGTAATTTTGAAAAATAAAAATGTCACATAAACGTTACTTCAATTGTGTTCTGTGATTTACAACTCTTTGGAAATACGTAGAATTAATGTTACTAATGGGATATATGTATATATATATAATGTTATGTGCATGTCACAGTGTGCAAAAGTTTGTATGTGTGTAGTCTGAATGTGGATGACGAAAACGATCACCGAGTTAGCTCAGTCGGTAGGAGTGGCATGTCTCGCGCTGCTATTACGCGATGTACTGGTTCGAATACTGCCTGTCCGAAACTCGAAGAACATGTCTGACAGAGTCGCATTATAAGGAATAGAAAATAAAAAGAAATGAGCCATGATTATAAAATGCCATTCGTCAGTTCAACGGTGGTCGTTCAAATGTAATCACCAATCAACTCAATCACCAACTCAATCACCACCTACATTATATTACATGAATTGAAATGAACATTAATAATAACAATACAATTAAAGTTAATAACTAAAATTAATATGATGTATTATAGTTATTTTTTACTGCTGTAAAAACTTAATAAAAAATTTGTAGACCTCTTGTTGTAAACACAACAGCCAAACATCAGCTTTTTGTAGCGCGATAGTCTCTGGCTTAAAAATCTGAAGCGTTTTTTCCAAATCGACAATTGTTAAACTATAGGATCAATAGCAATAACATACATACACACACAAATGTATATATATATATATATATATATATATATAATGTATATATATAAATTGCGTAAAATCCTACACACAAACACACACACACTCACAAACACACACACAAAATTTGTGTAAGAAAAATGTATATTAATAATAAGAGAAGTGTTGAAAAAACGTCCGCTCTCAACTAACAATGGCCCGTAAAATTTAACTGCATCTCGTCTCCAGTTGCAAAAGGGTATAAATACTGGAACTCTTCGTGCAAAGTTCAAGCCTGTTTAATTTTAATTAATTATACAGGATTTTGAAAATTTTCAATTCGTTTCGAAAGATTCAGAAGTAAAAGAAGAAGAAATGAAGCCAGAACTCGAACTAGGCAGCAAAGAAACACCAGCAGTTGTGTTCGTTGAGCCACCCAGGGCTCCGGTAACTTTATCGATTTTTTCAAATTAGTTTCATAAATTTAAAATATATTTACGAGATTAATATGGTAATAATTTATTTATTATAATGAATTAAAAATCAGAAACTGACTGAGAGAAAGTACTTCAAGGTTGGCATCATCGTGAGTATTGTGCTCCTGGCCGTCTTGATAATATGCGCTGTGGCAGGCATACTGGCCTACATCGGTGTCCAGAACAAGTTGATTGAGGTTAGGGAAACTTTTTATGAGGAGTCATTCGATTAAATTACTTCATTATAATGAAAAAAATTGATAATTTTGGTGCAGCAAAAAAATTCATCTTATTTAAAATATTATCCTGCCAATTAGTACAAGCTGACAGGGCCGGAGGGACGCACCCAGGAAGTGAGCGGTGACCTCACTGAGAATGTCGTCAAGTACCATATCCAAGATAGCGATCAAGATGCCTGGGTCGTCAATGACTTCAACACGGTCAGAAAGTTTTTTTTGTGTAATGGTTAAGATATCTAGATATCTATGGCCCGGTGTAGTAATGGCTAAGATATCTAGAACTGTGTACTAGTGACTGAGTGCAAGAGCAAATAATCCCAGCCTAGCACATGCAGTGCGTGTTACGTATTGAATCACGTGTATAAAAAGCAAGATCAGAAGCGTTGCATCTCAATTATGAATTTTTTCTATCAAAGGACATAAAAGTAACGAAGATAGTTAACAAGATGGGGACGAACTGTTACGTAAGTCCTCTCAACAGATCAAACGCCATGGAACCAGCAAAGATTACAGTGCCTAAATCATCCGTCATGCAAGTAAGATAATTTCATCCAAATGAATTCATTTTATTGATTATTCGTGAAAATATAGTCAAAATTTATCTCATAGACACTTATTATTTTGTGTGAATGAGTTTGTTTCATTTCGTTTCGTTGGAAGCCGCGAAGGACTTAAAATGTCAGTTCTGTCGCTACAGTGGATGCGTTTGAATGCAGAGAATTCCCGGGCCATCACATGCTTTGTGTGCGATGTGCTGATTCTATTAACGTACACCGTGTGTTTGTTTGTAATACCCTGGAAAAATACTGCAGAAAAATAATTATATTACACAGGAACCATCAGATTTCGTTTCAATTGTTTTTAAAATTTCTGGCGAGCCAATCGGGGACATTTCTTTCATGAACAAAAAGGCAAAAGAAATGTGCAAAGGTAAAAAAAGTTTTTTTCTTCAAAAAAAAATATTTTAATTATTCAAACCAATAAAATTTAATATTTAAAATAAATTGAATGATAATTGTGATTTAATATTTTGCGACTGCAGGGTTATCAACTTATTGGATGTACCCAACTTGCGCTAAGGATGATACTCTGACCTCCGTTCCAAGTTTGCCTAATTCACTCATTTATTTCGTTGTTCAGCAGCCTTAGATAAGCAGCTTTTCAAATGTTCACTTACCAAGATTTCAGCACGTCTAAGACTTAAATTTAAGCTTCAAAATTTTATATTTTTTTTTTATTAAAAAATGTTTGCCAAAACACTGTTATGTAAGGCTATTAATTCATAAATAACGGTTAATTTTCAAATAATTTAAATCCATAAATTTGTCTTAACTTTCCTAAAACATTTCTAAAATTTCTAATAAAAAGTTATTCCTCACCTTTGCAGAAAATCCGGCCAACTCATCATCGATTCAGAAGCGTGCGGCTCCTTTTTACGTTTATTCGACTTATTACTACAGGGGGCTAAACTACCCGTGCTTCAACGCGTGTTGCAGGACTATTTGTGCCCCCTATGTGTCCGTCTACTCCGTTCTTAAATCTGGAGTAATGCAATGCTACTGGGTCACATCGGGTACAAGAGTGCGCGATATATGTTACCCCACGCCTGGACTTGTTTGCAGACGGCCAGCCATTTTTCCAATTTGCTGAACAACAGCTCATTGGATGAAACTTTTTAAAGAGACGACATTAGATGCAAAATGTGACTAATTTTAATTTGATTCAATTTGATTTTGAATAAAAAAATTTATAAATTTTATTGAATATTAACAGTTCCAAATTGACGTTTAACATGTACATTAAATTAACAAATTAGATTTTAAATTATGTGAATGTTTCTGAAAAATGAATTGTTCTCGCATTCAAAATCCGACTTTGTTGTTATTTAAAACATTTGAAACTGATAAACCCTGCTAAGGTCGAACGCTTACTAAAGATTTGCTATCAAACATCGAATTACAAATAATAACGTAGAATAACAAAAAAATGTTTAAAAAAAATTAATTATCTTTTACTGCATTTGCTTCAAAGGTATTTGCAACACTCACGCACACACAAGCACATACACACGCACACACAAGCACACACACACGCACACACACACAACCTCCGTAAAATACGTGAAAATCATGCACCAGTCACAGACATTTAAGCATAAATGCAACACTTCTTGTATTCGAACCAGCTTACTGCAACAGTAGCAGGGCATGGTGAGGGTCGAGCCTGAGTTGTTGCCCGGGGCGAAATTTCAACGAGACGCTTTTTCAAAAATTTTTCTCAAAAAATGCTTGATACCAACTCTTAAACTTGCCTCCTTAATATTTAAAAGCTAGCACGTTAACATTCAAGAATTGAAATAAATTTTAAAACCGGTCTATGGAAACTTAATGTAAAAAAACTGAAAACTACAAAAATATATTAGTGCCATGAATACATATAAATTGTGATATATATATATATATATATATATAAAATATAAATAAATATAAATATATAAATTACATATATCAAATATATATCTATGATTAGTGCCTTTCTGTTCAATGGTCCCATAATATATATAAATTTCAGAGAGGAGTCAAAAGTAGGGATTTGCCAGGAAACAATTTTATGAGCCCTAGCCCCAAGACCACTGCCTCTAAAAGACAACGTCAACCAATTTTATATTGTAGTGTCTAGAATTTGTAGATTTTTATAGCGCTTTTCATTAAGAACCTCTGAAGCACTGTGTAGATTTTTATAGCGCTTTTTATTAAGAATCTCTTAATCACTGATGTATAAATTAACCGCCTGTTCACAAGGCATCCAACTAAAAATGATTGAAGCTCTGGCAAAGAATCGCTGGCTGGCCGACGTCATCAAACAAGCTCGTCTGCCGTCTTCGAAAAATTTTCTACCTCTGATTGAACTTTTTTGAAACAATTTTATCAACTTTGATTCATGGAAGATCTGTGCGTACATGTGCATACGCTTTTATTCATTTGTCATTATTTTTAAAGTTTTGTTTTATTCTTCGTTAACATTTTAATCTTCATATAAATTTTTCATGACTATTTTTTTCACTGTTTAAACTTCGTGAATAAAACTTAATAACTGATTGATAGATAGATTGATATAACTGATCGATAGACTGATAACACATTCAACACATCTTCATTATCACTGTTAAGGAACCATTGAAATGAGGAACACGAGACGAGAAACGACATGACGTCCAGCAAATACTAATTTGATAAAAATTCTGAGTTAAACAGTAACTAATCATATACATATGAAAACTGTCCGTCACAATTACACGCACACCCACACACGCACACCCACACACGCACACGCACACACAAATATATGTATATATACATATTTTTACTAACTAAATAAAACCAAAAAGCCATAAATAGATAACTAGAAATTGAGAAAAATGAACATAAGATTGAATTAAAAGAATAAATAAAGGACGAGCAAGAGAAAGAGTATATTGAGAAATAAAAGTATGTGTGTGTGTTTATGTGTGTTCTGTGTGCCTGTCTGTGTGTGTGCGCGTGTGTGAATGGAGGTCTGCCTGTTTATTGAAAACTAACATAGACTAGTAGAGCAAACCAAAGAATAAAAAATTTGAAATCGTTAACACGGGGGAGGGGGAAGTTCAATTAACTTGACTATGATGAGTTAAAAAAACATAAAAATAAACAAATGAATAAACAAAAAACCATAATTTATAACCAAAGTAAAAATATTATCACTATTTTGTTATTGTTGATTTTAAAAAATGACTGAATGGAAGTAAGGAGAGATAATAACGGAGAGCTCTAATCGAACGAACGAACAAACGAACGAATGGATGAATGAACAAACGAACGAATGAACGAATGAATGATCGAATTATCGAATTAAAATACGAGTGTTATAAGAGTGAACATAACAGGATTACGAATGGGGTAATGAATGAATGAATGAATGAATGAATGAATGAACGAATGAATGAATGATTGATCGAATGAATGAATGAATGAACAAATTACTGAATAAATGAATGAGTGAAAAATTAGGAAAAAGAATCAAAATAACAATAACAATGATATCCATTATTATTGACATACAACGAGTAACACGTAAATAGCAGATAACAATAATTTGAACAGTATAATGTGTGTGTATGTATATGTGTGCGTGTGCGTCTGTGTAAACATATATAAAACATATATAAAAACGAACACTTCAATATAGATAAAGAAAAATCAATATATAAAACATGTCGATAATGTTCATATGTACAATGTACATACTGTTTAATGTTTGTGTGTGTGTGTGTGTATGTTTGTGTTTGTGTGTTTGTGTGTGTGTATGTGTGTGTATGTTTTTTTATCCAGATGTTTCAATTTATTGAATAATAACGCAGAGAAGATGGATATATCAAAAAGATAATACAAAAATGAATGTTTTATTTAAATTAATTGGACAATAATAATATTATTAATTAATTAATTAATTAATAATAACACCAATGAGAAATGGAAAAGAAACATAAACAAAAACAACATTTAATTTCAGTAACCAGATTTTATTTTTACAAACAGACAAACAAACAAACAAACAAACAAACAAACAAACAGACAGACAAACAACCAAACAAATAAATAGACAGATAAACGAATAAATAGAGGAAAAAATTTTTTAAAAATAAAATAAAACTAACTGCCAAATGTCAATCGATCGTATGCAATATGATCGATTGATAAAATGCAAAATGCATTTTATAAACAGTTCAGTTCACTTTTAATCACTCTCTCCTTTCTTCTCTCTCTCTCCCTCCCTCTCTCTTTCTCTCTCTCTCTAGATATAGAGATAAATATATACACAACATGAAATAACTACCTATATTTATAGACACCTATAGTTTACTAAAATATTTTTTGAACAATTTAACAGTAGAAGCTAATTAATATGGTAAGCTAATTTTTATTCAAGTTATTTTTTTTCATTTCATTTTAATCAATCAATCAATCAATCAATCATTCATTCAATCAGCCAATCAATCAATCAATCAATCAATCAATCAATCAATCAATCAATCAATCAATCAATCAATCAATCAATCAATCAATCAATCAATCAATCAATCAATCAATCAATCAATCAATCAATCATTCAATCATTCAATCATTCAATCATAAAATAAATGAAACGATTAAATATGCCATCAGTAAAACGGTCCAGCAATTAATCAATAAAATATGTACTGAATCATCGAATCAATTAATTAGTTAATAATGTAATGAGTCAATCAACCAATCAATCAATCAATCAATCAATCAATCAATCAATCAATCAATCAATCAATCAATCAATCAATCAATCAATCAATCAATCAATCAATCAATCAATCAATCAATCAATCAATCAACCAACCAATCAACCAACCAACCAATCAACCAACCAATCAACCAACCAACCAATCAACCAACCAACCAATCAATCAGTAGAACATTCTAAGAAACAAACTCATGCCCCCGAGTACAAGGGCATATATAACTCTGTAATGTATGTAAGTGGAGATGATGAAGAACGAGTGAACGAGGACAAGACGTGTGACGTTCAGCTCAACCCGGCGCATCCCTGAATTGCCATCCCTAATCGGCAGACTGTGATTGGCCAGTGGATCGTCCAATGGCTCGAGCATGGTCCTGCGAACTGACCTGATGAACTCGTTGTTGATGTCACCGTAGTTGTCTTCATTGTCGCTGCTGTCGTTCTTGTCATCATCATTATGCTGATGATGGTTAGTGTTGCATTTGCTTGTTGGTGGAGCCGATGATGAGTCTGTTGTTGTCGGTGTTGGTGGTGTGGTTGTTGGTGGTGTGGTTGTTGGTGGTGTGGTTGTTGTCGGTGTGGCTGTTGCGGCCGATCTGTTAACCACGTCGCCGAAATCCGCAAGAACCTTTTTGTCATCTTTACAGCTGTTGTCGTTCAACTTGTTTAACGTCTCATCAACATCGTCATCATCATCATCATCGTTGTTGTTGCTGTGAGTAGAAGTATTATTATCATCTTTCGTGACGTCATCTTTTGAAACGTCATCCTCTCTCGAAACATCATCCTCCTTTGAACCATCACCACTTGAACTTTTCGAAGCACTCCCAGCAGCATCACCGCCATCATAACTTTTTGCATCCAAGCCGCCACCTATCTTACCATTATTATTAGCCGACCTGGCGAAATGTTCGCTCACCCTACCACCGCTAACATGATCAGTGTAATACGTACTGACCGCTTGTACGTACTCGTCATTTTCGTGATCGTCATTCTTGGCGTCGTCCTCAAAAACCTCACCACCATCATCTTCGTCATACTCCTTCAAGTGAACCTTCCCAGTAGAGTAGAACTCCTTCAGCATGTTATCCTTCTCCAGCCAGCGATTGAAGATCCAAGTCTGAAACTGCTCGGCTGACATCTGACTGATCTTCCCGATTGAGAATTTGCGACAGGCAATGATGATGTGGAGCGGATTAGTCGCGAGCCGGCGTCTGCAAATTAGGCTGAATGCACTGGGCGCATTATCGCTCGGGTAGAGGATGGTTAAGTCTATGAGGTATTTGAGATTTTTTGTTGACGTTGTTGCTACTGCTGCTGTTTGTTCTTGGATTGTTTGTTTTTGGGGTACTGGCGAAGTCGTCAAGTTTGAAAAACTGAGGGTATCATTGGATGTTTTTAGGTTGTGTGTTGGGCCCTCTGATGAGGGTGAACTAACGTTCGTCCTTCCCTGATGCTGTCTCTGCGATGAAGTGGTGATGCTGGTAGTGGTGTTACCATTTGCTACCTCCACAGCCTTCTCTGTAAAATATTAAGAAAGTAAGTAAAATATTTTAATTTATGGTAGGTATAATTAATTTCAAATTATCTATTTATTTATTGTACATATTTACAACAACAAACAAACAAACATATAAACAAACCGGAAGCGAGGGTGTTGATGATAGTATGCAGGGCTCCAGTTCTTGGCAGTGTACAATAATCAAGATGATGATAACCAAACTTCTGTGCGTATCTGAGATGTGCGTGTTTATGTTTAATTTCATGATAAGATGATGTTGTAAAGTGCCTGTCTCTTGTGCTACAGCGGCTGGGTTCGAAAGCAGAGTGAATCCTCAAATTTCATGTGCGAGTACGCCATACTTTCTTATGTAAATTTCTTGTATTACTAATTATTATTTCCACAAATTTAAAACAGTAAGATGTGTGTGTGTTTGTGTGTGTGTGTGTGAGTGTGTGTATGTGTGTGTGTGATGTATGAAGGCAGATGTTGTGCCTAAGCTATGTTTAATGTGGATAAATAGACGGTTGAATGTCCTTAAAATGTGCGTGCGTGTGCGAATGCACGCGTGCGTACGTTTGTGTGTGTGTGCTAATTCATTCAATCATTCATTTCTTCTTACATTCCCTCATTCATATTTGTGTGCGAGTGTGTGTGTGTGTGTGTGTGTGTGTGTGTGTGTGTGTGTGTGTGTAAAACTATTACAGAATTAAGGATGAAAGGATGACTCATAAAATAGAAATATCTACTTATACTGTAGAAATTGATTGAATAAAAATTTGCAGATGATATGGGTTTGTCTCTATATGAACATGTTTGTGTGTGTGTTTGTGTGTGTGTGTGTGTGTGTGTGTGTGTGTGTGTGTGTGTGTGTGTGTGTGTGTACACTCAATGTACTAGACTGACACACAGACAGAGCATGAATCATTGGATGAAGCAATTGATTGGAACAAATAGTTCTCATGAGGAAGATAAAATAAATTTTTTGAAAGATTTTGTGAACATTATGAATTGGTTTAAAACTTGGAGGTTGAAGTTGAATTCAAATAAATGTCAGCTCCTAAGAATAGGATCAAATAAACCAAGCCCGCCATTTACTATACTAGACGATGATCGTTTGACGTTTCAGTTACCTGAGGTTGAGGAAGTATCTGATCTGGGGGTTATTATTGACAACAAGTTGAAGTTTAAAAATCATGTGCTAAAGGTAGTTCATAGAGCAAATAGTATGCTTAGAATTATTGCCAGAAATTTCAAACACCTTTCCGAAGCAGCATTTGTAACCTTGTTTAAGTCATTGGTTCGTTCGCACCTAGAGTACGGCGTACAAGCATGGCATCCATTTGATAGATGAAATTGAAAAGGTTCAGAGAAGAACTACGAGAACAGTGAATTCTTGCAAGGAACTTCCATATGAAAATAGATTAAAGAAACTTAATTTGCCCTCTCTTGCCTACAGGCGTCGTAGAGCTGATCTCATATTGCTGTATAGAATAATCCATGGGGAAATTATGGAGGATATCAGTCCAAGGGTAATGTTCTCTTGTTATGATCGAACTCGAGGTCACAATCTGAAGTTAACTACAGGTGCTTGCCACAAAGACAGTAGGAAGTATTTCTTTTCTAACAGATCAGTTGATGATTGGAACAAATTGCCCTCAGCTGCTGTAAATTCATCCTATCTATGTGGTTTTAAATCGGCAATAAACAATTTTTTTGGAGATGTCATGTTTGATTGGAGGGCTAATTTCTGATAATTTCAATAATATTGTGTCTTTTGTTTATTTTCCTATATTTATAAATTTAAATTTTCGTTGACTCAAATTTTTATATTCTCTGTTAAAAATCCCTTTGTTTTGGTTCGTCTTCAATTTTGGTTTTTTATTATATTTGTGATTGTATTAACTAGACAGATTTTGTTGTTGATTCAATTTCCTGTTTGTTTGCCACTGTAATGACTTTGTTAAACAAACTCTAATGAAGCTAACTCATATAATTTTATAATGACAATTTGATTTTTATCTTAATCAGTTTTTAATTTTTAAGGGTTTATTTTTGCTACTTTTGATTTTTCGATTATTTGGTTGGCAATGGGCTATGCCCGAGCTATTTCTAATAATAATAATAATAATAATAATAATAATAATAATATTGAGTAGGCTGTTCTTTGTGCGTGTTTCTTAATAATCAATCAATCAATCAATCAATCAATCAATCAATCAATCAATCAATCAATCAATCAATCAATCAATCAATCAATCACCCAATCAATCAATCAATCAATCAATCAATCAATCAATCAATCAATAAATCAATCAATCAATCAATCAATCAATCAATCAATCAATCAATCAATCAATCAATCAATCAATCAATCAATCAATCAATCAATCAATCAATCAATCAATCAATCAATCAATCAATCAATCAATCAATCACCCAATCAATCAATCAATCAGTCAATTAGTCAATCAATCAATCAACTTTGTTCGTTCATTCATTCATCAATAAGTTCATTCAGTCATTCCACTAACTTCTGACTTGATTCTTTTCTTTTATATAAGAAGCCACCTGCAAGTGAAGCGAGAAAGGCAGTTGTATTGATCTGCTCTTGCGTAGTTGTGTGTGTGTGTGCGCGCGCGTGCGTGTGTAGTTGTGTGTGTGCGTCTGCGTGTACGTGTGTATTTGCGCGTGTGCGCGTGTGTATATTTGCGTAGTTGTGTGTGTTGTTGTTGTTAAGTTACTGTGTCTGCGTTTCATTTGTGAGACAGTCATGTAGTATAATTCACGTTGTTGTGATCTATTTTTGGACGATATGATACCACAACGACGATGAAACCCACACCATAAGAGCACAACACCCAGGCATATTAAAGGACCACAAAAACACACCAACACCCACACAAACACTCACACATACACAGAGAGAGAGAGAGAGAGAGAGAGAGAGAGAGAGAGGAGAGAAAGAAAGAGGGAGAGAAAGAGAGAGAAAAGAAAGAGAGAGAACAACACAAGACCAGACCTTCAGGAAACAGTATAAGCCATCTCCTGTCATACTTCAAGTATATGTTGAGTAGATATTCCTTCAACTGCGTCAGTTGGGCTGCCCTTGTACTCTTACCCTGACGACGATGATGATGATAATGATGACGAAATGATGATGATAATGATGACGAAATGATGATGATAATGATGAGGAGTAGGAAAAGTATTGATGATGAGGATGATGTTGGGACATAAAATTTGTACAGCTTCCTAGATTAAATTGCACTCTTCACCGGGGGGGGGGGCTTCGGTGCTTCGTACATGCAGAATTGAAATTGAGATTGGGTGATGATGGGAATAAAAAGATGATAAAAAGATGATGAAAAGATGATGAAAAGATGATGAAAAGATGATGAAAAGATGATGATGACGACGACGAAGTCAATGATAATATCATATGGTAACGATGATATATGAAAAGCACTTCATTCATTTCTTAAAAAAATTTCTACATACAAAAACAAATAAACAAATCAAAATCAAAACATCCAACCTAACAAAATTCTCCCCAAAAAACATAGAACAAACAGCCTAGAACAAAAAAAAACATAGAAAGAAAGGAAAGTAGCCAGAAAAAAAACCTGTTTAATAAAAAAGTCATGATGGACTTGAGAAACCCATCCGAAGTTTGTATACTTGAACATGATGTCCATGATCCAGCTGAGTTTATTTGGGAGGTCCGGTTTTGAGGTCATGTAGTACATTAGGACGGGGACGTCAGAGGTCGACTGGTGGTTGCACATCACGAGGCAGTTGTCGTTGAGGCAGTCGTTTAAGTTGTCACCGACTTCACTGACTGTTCGGGGGTTTAGTGAGAAGTGGGATGTTAAAAATTGGTTGTGTTTGTTTGTGTTTGTGTATTTTTTCAACCAAAATAATTAATGAGTTCTTGACAAGATTGAAAAAATTAATAAAAATTTGGTGTGGTGCTAACATCAACACACACACACCACACACACACACACAAAGGCACACACACAAACAAATTAACAAACACACACACCCTAGCACTACACAGACAAAATGTTTATGTATCATTATTTTCATAGGTAAATACAACTAAATTGATGGCAAACAATTTCATGCATGTTTGCATCTATCCGTGTGTGTACGTGTGTGTGTGTGTGTGTGTGTGTGTGTGTGTGTGTGTGTGTGTGTGTGTGTGTATTTATGTGTACCTGTGTATGAAAAACAGGCTATATAAACAAAACAAACCATTGAAGCAAGCCTGTAAACATAATAAACATATGTTGTTCATTTAATTAAAATGCATGCCTATGTTGCTGAAAAATGTTACATAATATAACGTTTATGTGTGTGTGTGTGTGTGTATTTGAGTGTGCGTGTGTGTGTATGAGTGTGAGTGTGTGTGTGACGTGTATAAACATCTCTCACCAGATGAATCACGCCACATAAATATGTTATTGGTGACTCTAATTTTAGTTAACAAAAAGGATAGGCAAGAAAAAAAATAATAGAGCAATTAAATTATGGCAAAGCTAAATTGTTGGTGTAAATTTTTTGAGTGAATGAAATATGAATACAGAATATTGATGAATTATATACTAAATGTGGGACAAATGAATGAATTAATGAATTAATTAATTAATGAATTAATGAAGGAACTAATGAATGAATGAATTAATTAATTAACAAATAAATAACATATTTATCTCAACATAAACTTTCCATGTTACAAAGATCATAACATAAGGTTCACAAGTTTATCCCTGTGTGGAAACTGTTTATTTATTCATTCGTTTGTTCATTCATTCATTCATTTATTCATTCATTCATTCGTTCGTTTAGTCATTCATTCATTCATTTGTTTAAATATTCATTCATTTGTTCCTTCGTTTAGTCATTCATTCATTCATTCATTCATTCATTCATTCATTCATTCATCTATTCATTCATTCACTCATTCATTTATTATTAAGGTGAAAAGTTAAAACTGATTGATGTGTCTTAAAACTGAAAATAGGATAGTTTTGATATTATAAGACAACAATATTTATTTGGTTGAAATGGTTGAAAGTTCATGGTTTGAAAGAGAACGAATGAATGAACGAACGAACGAACGAACAAATGAATGAATGAATGAATGAAGAAAAGATTGGATAAACGAACCAATAAACAGTTAAGTGCACACATCTTTAGAGACTTGATGGACAAAATGAAATTTGAAATTTTTGAAATTTCATGTTTGACAAGAGAGTATGCATGAATCAATGAACGAGCGAGTGAATGAATGAATGGACAGAAACGAGCAAAGATTATGAATGATTGATCAATAAATGAATGAATGATCAGGCCATGGAAGAAAAAAATAAAAATATACTGAAAAACCATTTTAAAAAATTGAGAATTTAAAAATACCATCCAATTAATACTTACCACTATTCATAGAAAAAATTTTTCAGATCCCAAAAAATTTTTAAGCTGAGCACAAAACTATGCAAGCTGGTGGAATATGGCGTGGGTATTGAATAAGCTTGTTTGTAACAAGCTAACATTACCAGAAAATATTTCATTCATTTATTTATTTAATAAGATCAATCCCTTTATCTCTCCTTTCCCTTGTCTCTCTCTCTCTCTCTCTCTCTCTCTCTCTTTCTTAGTCTCTCTCAGAAGAAATAATTAGGAGAAAAAAAAAATCAAATAGTCAAAATATTAAGAATAACAGCATATAACAGTAACACAATTTTCATATTTTCATACAAATCTAGATTTCATTTCAAACTTTGTAATTAACCCCAACAACAACAAAACAATAAACTACCAAAAAAACAATGGTAAAAAAAAGAGTAACAAACAAAGAATAATAAGCAAACAAATAACAAACTAACAAAGAAAAACAAAGAAAAACAAACAAAGACAAACAAACAAACTGACCAATAACATTGGCTGACCATATCCAGAAAGCGACCATTTCGAGGAGCCAGCCATAGAGTGTACCCTCTAATGAGTCATACAGAGGAAGTGATATGTATTTAAGTGGTCTGATCAGTAAGATCCACATCAGGTAGGCCGGTATGGCGTACAAATTGTTGACCACGACGAAGATTATTCGAAGAAATATGTGTCGCTTATTCATTGTTTTTGGGTCCTTTGTAAGTACGTCTAATGTCTAATCAGTCAAGAGAAATTTGTTAAAAATTTTAAGATTTAAATAGAATAAAACAGCTTTTAAAGATTTAAATTAAACTTAAAAGTTAAAATGGTGATTAGTTTAGATTAGAGAAAGAGAAAAAAGTTATATATGCAACATTCAGTTGTTTTTTTAATAATTAATTTCAGTCTAATTATTTTTATCATAATTCAAAGAATTATAATTTGAACAATTTTAAGAACATCTGGTTTCACCGCTTCAAGTTTTAACTAATAATACTATAACTTATATTTTATAATATATAATTTTAGCTTGTAATAATATAATATAATAAAAATTCTATTTTTATTTTAATTTTTATTAAAATTCATTTCTATTTTTCAAACTAACTACTAAATTAATTAATAAAAAAGAAATAGATTTAAAAAATTTTAAACAAATAAAATATTGGATTATTTTATTAATCTACTATTACTTAATTTACTAATACACTAATTCTTGATCAAGAAGTTTAGATTAATTAAAAATAAAATAAAAAGTTATTATCTAAACTTTAATTAAACAAAAAAATTAAAAAATGGTTGACATGAATAATCTGAATAATGACAATTGAAAGAAAATGTATGTCTAGACATCAACAAATTTATTTTAAAATTTTAAAAGCGACACTTTTTGCTTCGTCCAAATTTTGTTCGCTACTAACCTCAGATTAAGAACTTTGTGACAAATTTTATTCAAAATGCTTACATACACTGACCAAACAAATTATCATCATCTTTATTTAAAATTGAAATGAACAAAAGTGAACTTAACTCAAATTTAATTTTTATTCATCAAAAGTATAGTAATTTAATTCATTTAAATAACAATTTAAACTTTTATTTTTCTAATTAGTAATATTTATTTGATAAAATTAAACTATTTATATACGTACTGGTAGTTTACAATGCCTTCATAGCACTTTTTATTAAAATTTAATCATTTTATCCATTTAAAAAAAATGATTTTAATTGATTTTTCCGATTAATTGATTAATATTATTGTGCCATATGCCCGAAAATTATCTAGAATACGTACAAAAACTATATTTTTCGAGATATATTAATAATTTTTATCAATTTCTTTTATTAAAAAAATGTTGTATGTACTTAAAATCTTTCGTACCTTGAGATTTTTTCTAATATTTCAATTAAATTTATGTAATGAATATTCAATAAAAAGCTTTTTCAGAAAAGCTTGTGAAACCTTTTGAAAGATTTTTTGATATATTAATAAATTCTAAGAAAATATGAAAACACCGACTTGAGTGGTTTTCATCGTGTAATTTAAGATATTTTATTCTCTTTCTATTCTAAGAACTTTTTCTTCTTCCTTCTTTCAAGAGTCTTATCCTTTCAGGACATTGGCGACCATCGACCTCCACAAAACCCGATCTTTAGCACTTTGTAGTAGTTGAAATGTGGTGATATTCAACAAGTGACACAAGGACTTCACGAGTGTTGTTCGTTGTTGACCGCGATCTCTTTTCTCTTCAATCTTTCCAGTAGTTGTTAGATTTTCCATTCTTTCCTTCCGCATGTTGTGGCCAAAAAATTTTAACTGCCCCCGTCGGATTATCTGTAGTAATTTCCTCTTTTAATAACCGTAATGTTTTAATACATCCTCATTCGAAGTATTATATGGAGATCTTATTATTATCTCGGAAGTCTGATTACCACAGGTTGTAAATGTTATATGGATATCAAAAGAAGGATAGCAGTGGCGAAAGATGCATATTCTCAAATGAAAAACATCCTTACCAACGATAAAATATGAATATCAGCGAATCTAAGAACACGAAATTTTAACAAAGACGATTACTACAAAGTAAAATTACATTGGTGTTCGTGGTTTTTTTTCTTTTTGATACTGGTATGATGTTTTTAAAGCTGTTCAATGTGATTGGTCTAGCAATTTCTAAATAAATTGTAACAAGAGTCACTTCAATTCACACCACAGTATTTTTTACAATCGTGGATATCCATGATAAAAATTAACAACGTACACTAGAGGACATGCATTATAAGATTTTGATCCCATTTTGTATCCAAACCATCTCACGATGCAAATGTTATAACAGCTTGAGAGGATCCATTCAACCCTGCTAATATGCAAATCTACCAAATGAAATTTTTTGATTCCAAACGTTCATTGGTCGGTTGGTTGAAATATTTTTTGAAACCAACCTGACATCTTTTGATGGAACAACAATTTTTAGATTTTTTTTATGATTTTTTTTTAATTTATTCTGCTTCAGAAGACATTAGTAGGTTGGATTGCTTCTCAAAAGTTGTTTAAAAAATACAATTTGACTAATTAATATTCTAATAGTTAGTGTTCTAGTAGTTCTACTTGTACATCATTTAGAAATAATACTACCCGTATTCGTGTAGAAGAAATTGTTGTGCTATACAGTTTATATCTAACTACAAATATATGCAGTAGTAGTAGCAGCAGTAGTAGTAGTAGTATTAGAAGTAGCAGCAGCATCAGTAGTAGTAGTGATGATGATGGTAGCGGTAGCAGCAGTAGTAATAGTGGCTGAGGTGGTCTTTGCAGTGATTGCTATCGTAATTGCATCTGCATGTACTCATTTCTAAACGCATGTCTCTCTCCCTCTTTCTCTCTCTTCTTGTTTCACTCTTTCTCTTTTATTCTCTTTCTCCCCCTATCTTTGTTTTTCATCCATTTTCTATACTTTTCTCATTTTTTGTTCTTTTCTTCTTTTCTTTCTATCATGTTCTCTGTCTCTCTCTCTCTCTCGCTCTCTCTCTCTCTCTCTCTCTCTCTCTCTCTCTCTCTCTCAATCTCACTATTATCTGCCTTCTTTCCCTCAACTTTTTTTGCCTTGTCTTCTTTGATCTCTTCTTCTTCTAGCTAATTATATTCTCTCTCTTCCACGATTTCTCTTTTTTTCTAGTCTGTTTTCTCTGCTTGGTCAGTTTTCAAAGCGATGAAGAAAATTTTACACGAGTTTTGTTTATTTTTCAAACTTAAAATAAAATTTATAAAAATTGTACCATAAATAATGAATTTTTTTAAAGTTTCTATCCTGAAGGAAGCGATTTTTTAAAATATTTTTCCGTGCAATTTATATTTAGTTTTGTCTCTCTCTCTCTCTCTTTCTTTCTTTCTTTCTTTCTTTCATTTTCTCACTCTCTCTCTTTCTTCAGTATTTTCACACAATGCTAAAAAAATTTGTGAGCGTTGATATACGTTTACATGTGTGTAAATGTGTTAACTATTAATACCTGTGGGTATATGTGTGTATATATATACAGAAATGTGTATATATCACACATAGAAATTATCTAGCTTTGCCTGATCAAAAAACAAATTTGTGTGTATGTATAGTATGTATGTGTGTAATTTTGAGTGTGTAATTTTGAGTGTTTGTTTGTATGTGTATGTATGTGTGAGTGTGAAAGTGTGTGCTTGTTTGTGTATGTATGTGTGTATGTTTCCTTTATACAGAGCGAGTAAAAGCTACAGCGATGTCAAGGCCAAATAACATTTGGCCCAGAGGTCTTGGGGTTTCATACCTAAGTTTTTTGACGATTGTGTGATGATTCAAAGAAAGAAAAGTTGTCAATTTAATTTTTACGACCCTTTCAACTCCATTTTTGAGGCCGGTCTCTGCCAAATGGTCCTCCCAACACAGTCTTCTAGGCCCTGCGTGCTTATATGAGTATTTCTTAGTTCTCTTTTTTTAAATTTATATTTAAATTAATTTATATTTAATTTAAAATTTTTTTTTATTTGGTTTAATTTAATTTAATTTAAAAATTTAAATTAATTTATATTTAATTTAAATTTTATTCACACATGATGAAAAACACACGTGTATTGCTAGAAAGATAAGCACTGAGTTATTATTGAATGCTTGCAAGGAAGTTTTAAATTTGCACGGTTTTTCCTTAGATCTGCAGTTTGAAAAATTTTGTGGTGTTTTGTTTTCATTCAAATGTGGTATGTTGTTTGTGTATATATGTGTGTATATGGTGTTTTGTATGTGTGTGTAGAATTGTGTGTGTGTAGAAATGTGTGTGTATATCTGTGTTTGTTTTTTTTGTATTTGTACATTGCAATTTTAGTTTATGACTGGACATAAACGCATGTAGGAGGTATCGATGGATGTAGTTAGGTACTTATGTGTATGAATGTGGGATGTATGTGTGTGGGAATTTTTGTACATGTGTACGTGCATGTAGGTGTACATGGTACAAATACCTTGCAAATAGCTGCGGTTTATTAGCATAGGGCAGAACACAACAACGTGTTATCAGCATCACAGGGAATTGTCCGTCTAAATTATATGCTTGGTTTGCCTCATCAGAAAACAAATGTGTATGTGTATGTGTGTGTGTATGTGTGTGTGTGAGTCTATGTGTGTGTGTGTGTGTGTGTGTGAGTTTGAGTGTTTGTTTGTTTGTATGTGTATGTATGCGTGTATGTTTCTGTATTTTTGTTTTTCTTTTCGTTATTAAAGTTGCACGTTTGAAGTTTTTATGGCTTATTTTAAGTTTTTTCATTGTTTTTTATGTGAGGCTTGTTGTATAGTATATGTTTTACAATTGTATATGTGTGTATATGTAAGTTTATATGTGCGTGTGTGTGTGTGTGTGTGAGTATGTACGTGTACGTATGTATGTGTGTGTGTGTGTGTGCATGTATTTTTACGTATGTTTGATTTATGCAAAATATCGATCGTGGTTTCTTATCTTGAAAAATGATTTGGCATTTCATTGCGAGATTGAGCCATTTGGCATGCTAAAAATCAATAGTCTCAAAATGCACGCATGCATGCATGCGTGGGTGCGTGCGTGGGTGCGTGCGGGCGGGCGTTACGTACGCCTACACTTATATTTATTCATTCATTTATTCGTTCGTTCATTCATTTGTTCATTCGTTAAAATGCTCGTTCATCCGTTCGTTCATTTTTTACC